GAAATTAATCAGACGGCTGGAATTTTGGAAGTGGGGCTTCAAGTTGCGAAAGTGGAGCTCAAACAATGCTGCTCTACTGAAAGGGCTTCCCGAAGAGGACAGATAATCTTCTCTAAAGTTTGATGAAGGTAGCGACATCCCAAAACTCTTGGAATCGCTTGGGACTCAGCGTCGGATCGGTTGCTGTCTTCTTTTTCGTCCATTCAGCAGAGATCCAAACCGTCCAAAAGGTCAATACTATCGACCATAGCTCGCTTGTATGACCCGCTTGCACTCATAGGGCCGGTAATCCTCTGAAATAATCACAGTTCCAAAGCTAGAGCTTTGCGGCGCTGTCTTACTATCTAATCTCATGCGTGAGATATCTAAAATTAATTTCTTTGATGGAAAGTTTTACTGTTGGTTGGATTCTTCTGTATGCCTTTCCTGGATAAGGACCAAGCCCTGCAAGCTCAACGTGTTCGTGGCTAATCGCGTCACAGAAGTTCAAGAGCTAACTAATAGCATGGAATGGCGCTACGTGCCTACTTCACTCAACCCGGCAGATATACTTTGGGAGGATCTACGCCCAGTGAATTAGATCAATCGTTATTTTGGTTTAACGGCTCAGAATTTCTAGCTACATACAAATCGGGCCTACTTCTTGCTTGTCACAAAAGACAGAACTCGAACTTAAAAAAAGGTCCTTATTGCGTCATCTCCCTTTGTTGATATAACTGCCACTTGTAAATACGTCAACGCATTTGATACAATGCCGCGTATATTCGGATATATTTATAAATTCATACACAGAAGCAGGCATCCTGGACTAACAGTGTCTGATATACAACATGGGACCCAACTCTTACTAAGGCTCGTCCAGAGGGCACACCTGTGGGAAGAGATCAAATCATTGCAATCGAGAAGAGTTGTTAAACCGTCCAGTTGTATCGCATCACTTAACCCTTTTTTGGATGATTTCGGAATTCTTAGAGTTGATGGGCGCATGAAAAACTCTTCGCTGGATTTCGACGCTCGCCATCCAATTATTCTCCCGTGTCACCATCCCATCACTGATTCAGTCATCACACGGTTCGGGACTTACACGCTGGTCCACCGGCACTTTTTGCTCATATTCGTTTCTATAAGCCAGATGTACGAAAGAAAGCTCCTGTCAAATGTTACATGGCTATCTTCGTCTGCTTCGCGACTAAAGCGGTTCACCTCGAACTGGGCAAGGATTTGTCGACAGCTTCATTCTTGAATACGCTTAAAAGGCCATCTCAGATATGGTCCATAACGCTACCAACTTTGTTGGCGCCAAGAACGAGCTTCTGGATCTCAAGCGTCTATTCATCGGTCGCAATCATATTGATTCAGTGCATAAATTTTGCATGGCTGATTCCATTGATTGGAAATTTATACCTCCTCGTTCACCGCATTTTGGCGGCCTTCGGAAAACAGCAGTGAAGACAGCGAAGCATCATTTTTATCGTGGTTGTTGGATCTTGTGTTCTCAACTTCGAACAGTTTCGCACGCTAATCTGCCACATAGCTTCGATAATTAATTCCAGACCATTGTTTCGTCTTTAAGAAGATGCAGCAGATCTAGATGTGGACACTCCAGCTCATTTCTTGATTGGTGAACCCTCTCATCGTTCGTTGAGCCTGAAGTGACGCACCTGCAATTCAATCGTCTGGATGGCTGGCAATGCGTAACATACCTGCCACAACTATTTTGGTCTCGCTGGCGTGAAGAATACTTAACACTGCTTCAGCAGCGCTGCAAATGGCGTACTCCGAAATCAGGCCTATGCGTCAACGGCTTAGTCCTCGTAAATGATGAAAATCTGCCGCCTCTAAGGCGAGAATCACGGAGATAATCGTGGGAAAGGATGGAGTCGCTCGAGTAGCCATTTCGCGCAGCGGAACAGGAGAAACGAGAAGAGCTGCAAACAAGCTGTGCCTTTTGCCCATCAGGGATCTGTTGAAAACCCTTGCTTTCCAACGGAGGGAGAAATGTCTGGCTATGCAGTCAAAACAACTGGAACGACCTCGCAAGTGATAAAAGCAGCATCTTAATTTATCTTATAATACTCGCTCTGCAAAGCAATTGCCTAAATTTCGCTCTTAAGAATATTTACATAGAGCTGCCGCTCTTCGCTGTAACGATCGTTTTATTGCCCTAGCTTTACTTATGCGAAGGCCTCAATGCTGCGCATCGAGTTAGTTAAGTTTGTTCGCTTCATGCATTTGGTACACATCGGCCACTTGCATTACTCAAAATTATGACTAGTAATTGTCGCTTCGCTAAAATTGGCACATACCAATTCGGGTTCGCTAATTATTTCGACTTGTGAAAGCTATTGAAAAAGCTTATTATCGCAACACTATCCTTACAATATTTTTGATAGTAGCTTGCACAGCATATTGGCTTACTGGTTTGTGAGAGAACGGCACATATAGCGTAATCGGTAGGTCAGCCGTTTGAACAAACTCAACTTAAGTTGGGTTTTGCCATTATAGGGTCGAATATAATCAAAGTGATAAGTTAAGCAAATGATTCACTGAAGACGATATTCTTAGTATCTATGACACTTCCCTTCTTTAAGAATGTCGTTGGGTCAGATACGCACATTGATTAATTAGATCTATTAAAAGTTGATGTCTATAGAAAGTTATGTTTGGGGCAGAGTGAGAGCGCAATAAAACTTTCGTCTCGCCTTGCTTCTGTAGACTAATGCTTAGGCTTAAGAAATTTATGAGGTTGTAAAGTTGTCGAAGTTACTTAAACCATCAGCAAGAAGCGCATTATTTGTTCTTTTAAGTTCAAGTGATATAGTACAACTATGCGTGGCTCGCGAGTAAATTTTTAATTAAAAATTAAAATTAAATGGCATCGGCCGAGACCAACTACCTGCTACCATCAAAAGAGAGTAGCTTCCAAAGTAGAACGTCCGGAATTAAAAGCCCAACTCAATTGGCTTGGTTGCACTAATTAAGCCAATGCTATCAATTCTTGGCACATATGTAAAGGAGCTAAGCATAATTATAATTTACATTCACGTATAATGTACTTTTTATTTGTGCGATTTAGTTCTTCTGAGCGAATACTAACTATAGTCAAAAATTAATTGTCAGTACAATTTCATTTCTGTTAGAATTCGTTGGTTCCCCCTTCTTGCCATCACTATCAACAATTAGGCAGTTGTCCAAGCGCTTGTATATTAGTGCAGTACCTACATAGCAACCCAGTTGCAGTCCGCTTATTTTCGTTTCACTTTATGCTAAGCGTGGCTGTGCAATATTCTTGTACGCATATCGTTGGCGCGTTTCAGTCAAGAGACGGTCGCGTCAATTTCAATTTCAATTTTAAATTGAAATTAATAACAGTTAAATCGAATTTATAGTCATATATACCAACTAATGAGTGTTTCGAGGACTAAAAAAAGAAACGCAATATGTCCTTTAACCATATTAAAAGAGTCTACAGAGTTAGAATGTAGATTAGAAATGCAGATCTCACATATAGATACAGCATTAAAATCTCAGGCTCGAGTAGTAACTTGTGACCCAGTTAATTAGTATCGTGACGAATAGAAAGAAAATGTACCACTTAATTCCGTTTAGAGAAGATTTGGAGAGATAAAGATGTGAATCAGCTTGCACTCGGGGAGTTTGAATATGGGATCGTTTTAACATATGCCAAATTCTGCGATCGATTTGAGGCCATACGCGATATTTTAAGCCAACAGCCTTCTTATTGAATGGAAAGTCTAAAGAACGAGAGTGGCGATCTAATCAGCCAGATGGCTATTTAATCCATTTATTCAAAGAAAACAAACTTATGAAAGCACGCAACACAATCGGAAGAAAGATTCAGTCCGAGTAACGTGGATACGTGATACGGGTGGTATATTGCAAATACAAAACAAGTAAGAGGTTCTATTCGGGAGGGGATACCCGACTAGGGGATACCCTGAACCCTCTTCTTCCAACATCAAATGCATATATATATTCTATTTTAGAAGCTATATGTCAAGTTTGGTGACACTAGCTTTTATTATTTACCAAAATTACCAAAATTACCCAAAAAACAGGATATCGATATAGATTTTTATCGATTGCTTGGAAACGGAGTAAGCTATCGATTATCGGAAACAAACTCGATCTGCGCAGGTACAAGGAGCACCTACATCTAAAATTTCTAGCTCTTATAGGTTCTGAGATACTTGCGTTCATTCATACGGACCGACGGACGGACGGACAGACGGACGGACAGACAGTCGGACATGGCTAGATCGACTCGGCTATTGGTGCTGATCAAGAATATATATACTTTATGGGGTCGGCGATGCTTCCTTCTACCTGTTACATACATTTGGATTTTGCACAAATTAAATATACCCTTATAACTATTTTTAATGGGTTCAGGGTATAATTAACTAATAGCATATGAAATGAAAACAAAATTAGTGGCATATTGGTAAATCATTCCACAATAGTTTGCGTTAAATCAAAATGATGGTGGAATTCCTGAAACTGATTTGGATTTTGATCTGAATCAGTTGAGAGAACAACCCTTTTGCGCACTAATTTCATTAAGATTTCGTGAACAATTGGCAGCCTGATCGAACGGACAATTGGCGCAAAAGTAAAGGAAGAAAATGATTTTGGTAGCTCTTATACAATTTTCAGATCGCCGAGTTCATTAATAAGTACGAACAGACAGAAAGCTAATGATTATCAAGAAAAGTTCATTTTGTTGGCGAAAATGCTCCTTTCTGTCTGTTACAATGCCTGGTATAATGTGTACCCTTTTTAACCATTTTCTTTGGGTTCAAGGTATAAAATTAAAATAGAATGAATGCATTGAAAGCATTTTTTTTTAAAAACTATTATAACTATTACTTGAACACCGACATTTTTTGACTAAATTTCACATTTGTGGACAATTTGACGACTGATTCGTCTCACATTGGTGTCTTAATATCACTTATTAATATTTTTATTGTACTTACAACTGTACTTTTGGTTTTGGATCGCCTAGAATTTTTATCATGAAACGAAACAGAGTGTTTTCAATCATTTCAGCATCCTTTAAGCTAACCAAAAATGCTGGTGGCACATTAGTTTTAGATTCATCATGGCCAGAAGCTGTTAAAATTAAACGAAGCATTTACTAAAACAATCATTTATTTTTTTAAAAAAAACTCACCTTGTCCAACTGCAAGCTGAGCTGTCACAGTCGTTGTATCAGAACCTGATTGTGCGCGAACAGTATACGTTCCCGCATCATTCTCACTAGAAATATAAAAATAATGTTGTCAATATTTTTGTAAAACAACAAGCTAGTGCTCAATTTTCAAATACCCTGGTCCAGATACAAATTGATAAAATATATATTACAATATACAATATATAGTATATAAATAGACGTATTAGAATATGCCTTTACAGATTAATTTGTAATCTAATGTAGACCTCATTGGGCCATTACCTCAATCTGATCAATTTTGATATTGCAGATGCAGTTTCTATCGAGGATATGGATTTCTCGCTTTTGGATTCCAGATCGCATTACCACGGACCTAGGCAGATAATTTAAATTCAGATTATTCAAAGAGCTAACGCGCCTTCTCGTCGTTGACCATTTACGAATAACCGCCTACCATTGACAGGCCAACGAAATCATCGATCATCGATTGTTTACGGCACAACTCTTCCTGCATAATTTTCCATAAATTTTCCACAACTCGAGCCAATATAACCTCAAACTAATTTCGCCAAGGATCTAACAATATATTGCGCGAAATCCCAACAATTCAAACTTACTACCACGACTCATCAAAGCGTATTCAAGCAAGTAGCTGATTCAAGTCATGTTTTTCAACTTAACGACACGGTAAGAGGTAAGAGCATCTACAACGGACCATTTGAAGTAAATTGAAAATAAACCAAATTATTAACAAACTTGTCAATGATCATGATAACATAGTATCAACTGATTATCTCAAACTTGCTGTCATGGAAATACAGCAACAATCAGCGACACATCCAAAGCTATTCCCAACACATCTTTCCTGCTTCAACAAACTCCAAGGCCTCGCCGCGCAATTAGCTCGACAACTTAAAGGTTGAGAGGGGCTACTGCGCCGATCATTCCAAAAATTAAAATATAACTTTTTAACTTTTTTGACTTTAAAAATAAATAAATTTGCTTACAATAATTCTGAATTTCACAATATAACGAAAAGTATGTACAACATCTTCTAGCTGGAGCTCTCTAACCTTCGGCATCTACGAGTCTATATATTCAATTTGGTGTATAAGAAATAAAGCAACTATTGCTAAAATCGAAATGTCTTACGTGTATAAATAGTTGTTGAATATTGACTTTAAAGTTCCATCTATTTAAGCAAAGATGTAAAATATATATGTACTAATAACATGGTTGCCGATATACTTAAAAAAAAAAAAAAAAAAACATATATGTACAATGTATAAATGAAATTAATGGCTATCAATAAGTTTTTGCTAAAAGGGAGTATTGAAATATGCATAATTTTCAGCAATAATCACCTGGTTACACTTCAGTCTTTTGTTTTTTTTTTTATTTGTGCTTACTCTTATTGCTTAGAATACCATTGTCTGTCGCTTAGGAACTATCGAACGACCACTATATATGTAGATAACACATACAACAGTTTTTCCCGATTTTTTAACTACTTGTGGTGAAATTTCCCAAAACATGCATAGCATACACAGGCATCCCATATGATTAATAATTTTAATGTTTACTTCCTTTATCTGACGGTTTTGGCTGTGCGTCAGTGGGGCATCCAATCTCTTGGACAGGACAAACAGTTTTCTAAATAGAGACTAGTGGGTATTGCCCGGCCTTGCCAGTGGAGCGTTGTATACTCAACATTTTAAATATTTCCTTTTCACTAAGTACACGCACGCATTCCATCTTGAACTCCACTTCCTTTTATACCCTGAACCCCTTAAAAATGGGAATAAGGGTATATTATATTTGTGAAAAATCCAAATGTATGTAACAGGTAAAAGGAAGCATCTCCGACCCCATAAAGTATATATATTCTTGATCAGCATCAATAGCCGAATCGATCTAGCCATGCCCGTCTGTCTGTCCGTCCGTCAATCCTTCTGTCCGGAGGTTTTAACGCAAAGATCTCAAAACCTATATGAGCTAGAGACTGAAATTTGAGACGTAGGTGCGTCTAGTGCCTGCGCAGATCGTGTTTGTTTCCGGTAATCGATAACTTACTCTGTTCCCAAGCAATCGATAAAAATCGGTATCGATATCGAAATTCTTATGATCGCACTTTCCCCGAGGAAGCCTAGATTTTGCGAAAACTGGGAATCACAGCTCAAATAAATTTAAGCAAAGATGTTTGAAATGAAGTTTGAGGCCGATCGGCTGGTAAATAAAAATGTGTTATTCGATTTTGTTTCGCGATTTTTCCATACTTGCGGATTGAACTTCCCGAAACCAAATCTGAACGTGCCCCTTCATCGCATTAGGTAATTACAGTGAAAACTTCATAGTTTCCTACTTCTTATGATATGGGCTGTGAGTTGATCACCAATCAGTCCTGACAGGACAAAATAAAAAAAGGAAATAAAAAATAAATAACCTGCAATTTTTGATATCCAAGCGATAGGAATTCATTGGAGCACTTGTTTGGACAATCCGGTCCGCCAAACGATCGTCCAGGGTCTTGTTATCCTTTAACCATGTAACTAATCCTGGCTGCTCTTTAAACTGAATTTCAAAGTGAGCTGTCTCTCCGCCTGTTAGAAAAAATTTGATAATTCAAAAACATATTTTGACTATTATTTTTCTATCATTTTGAAACTTACATTCAACATGTACACTTTTCAACATTTTGATAATCACAGGTTTCTCAATACAGCGTTGAGGCTGATCGTCAATTAGATGCGAAGATGCACGCTTACGGCTGGCTTGACTTTCTGCACGACTCTCAGCTCGACTGGAAGCTAAGAGGGATGAACGTGCTTCAATTCTATCCAATGTACTTCGATCACGTCTTGCACCAGTTACGTAGCTTACGTGTTTATCGTAAGTACTATCATAGGAAGTGCCCCGAACATCGTCCCTGGACCTACTACTTCCTTTGATGGTAGTTAAATATAAATAAAAAAATTAGTTAGCATTGTGGTACATAATAATTTAAGATAAACAAACACGGAAAAATTGTGTTAATGAAGATGGAGAAGCAAAGGTCTATTTTGTTATAATACAAGTGCTAAATTTGTATATCCTGAACCGATTAAAAATGGGCAATAGGGTATAATGTAATTGTGCAAATGTATGCAACAGGCAGAAAGTATAAAGTATATATACTCTTATCAAGCATCAATAGCCGAGCCGATCTAGTCACATCGTCTACCGGACATATGTATGAACGCAAGGATCTCAGAACCTGCTTCCAAGCAATCGATAACAATCGATATCGAAATTCTAGTTTTTAAACAAATTTCTCGCGGTATAAGAGCTGGTGTCACCAAATTTAACATGTAAAAACTTGAAAAGTTTATTGCAATGTGAAACGACTCGAAATCTATAAGTCGGCAAAAAATACAATACTAACAAGGCATTTTTTAATTCTAAATTACAGTGCTTTCAGAATCAGGCGCAAAATATAAATGGCAAATTTACTCGTCTGTATAGTTTAATCTTAAATTGATACCGAATGTAGTGTTACTAAAAATAAATATTGCAGCTAATAATATATAACAATCTCAATCCCAAATAGCTTGATCAGTACTAACAGCGTATCTATAAACGCACATCTCAAATCGGTTTCAGAAGCTAAAAATAACTAGGCAATTAAAATTATTGTACTGTAAAATATTTGTATATTCTCATTAAAATTTAGAGGGGGGAGTTGCGATAGCTATAAATGAAAGATACTTGATATTTATATACTATTCTAGAGGCTACATGTCAAGTTCGTGACTCTAGCACTTAGAACCAAAAGATTTGCTCAGAAACTTCAATTTTTATCGATTACTAGGAGACGGGGAAGTAATCGATCATCGGAAATAAACTTTGTTCTGATACCCTTCCATTCATACATCCGGACGGTCGGAGGGACAGACAGACGGGCATATCTAGATCGACTCGGCTATTGATGCTGATCAAGAATATATATTTTATGGGGTCCATTTACCTGTTACATAGATTTAGACAAAAACATTATACCCCTATTACTCATTCATAAAGCGTTCAGGGTTTAAGAATCTCAATTGATTTTAACTGCAAATCAGAGCTGCGTACAGGTTATCTTCCAGTCGGACACTACCGATTAGAGCACTGTTTCGAATCGAAACGTTGCATATTAATATAATACAGGATGCATGGATGTATGTATGTATGTATATAAATTCATTTGCTCGCAAAAACTAGTTATTTAATGAATTTTTTAGATAGGGGTATTTATGCATGTATATTTCAAAATATGTAATCATAATTTTCAGTTAACGTACAATATCCTTACACACATATTAGAACGCAAGGCATCTATTCCATATAAACACACATTTCCCCTCGCATAAAGTTCAGAGAGTGTAATTCATTTTTCTACTAATTGTCTAATATAAACTTTTCTTCTATTTTTATTATTCAATCTACTTTTTTTGAGCACCCAACGAGGTTTGGCGAAATATCACCTAAGTCTGTGTTGAAATAAAAATGTATGCTATTTTTGATTCAATACAATAAACATTTATTAAAAAGGACATTTATTAAAAAAATTTTAAAGTCATTGATTAATATACCATATCCGTATATAAATACCATTTACTCTTCTTGCTAATGGTAACTTACTTTCAACACGCCGCTGAGTAGCCAGGGAATACCCAGAATAGTTATCATCCATACTGCAAACACTTTTGTCTCGGACTTCCCAGTCAGCACTTGACTCTCTGAAATCGGGACCAATAGATTCAGTATAATCACCTTCAATCTCAGGCATATTTTCAGCCTCTTCAATAATTTCATATATGGGTTTCCTTTTAATTGGTGGATTAAATATATGTACAAAATCGCGAGCTTTCGCTTTTTTTACTGTGTCTTGCGCATAATTGGTAGAATCTGTTGATTTTAACACAGCGTTTTTAATATTTCGTATTTTTTGTTTTGCGTTGCGGAGCGATGTGTCTGCGGTTGATACGTCGTAGATACCTTCCAAAAAGTTCTGTGTTTTTTGTTCCAGACTTTCAGTATGGACAAGCACCCGCTTAACAGTTCGCGGCGGTGGAGGAGGCGGTGATGGTGGGCGTGATTTAAGAATTAGTATCTCTATGGTGGTTTCATATGAAATAAGCGGAAGCGGTTGAAAAAAGCCAGGCATTCTAACAAAATGAGGAGGTATAGGTGGTGGGGGCGGACCATGTGCTGAACGTTCGCCCCCATTATTGGATGCAATATTAGCAAGATCATTATTCCATTGCGCTAATGAAGCAGAATCAGTTATATTAGTAAAACTTGAGAGCTCCTGTCGTTGTTTGGAGTTTGTTTGTGTGGTATCACTATCAACAATAGGTTCACTGTAGCCAAAGATATCTTGCAGTTCGATTGGAGTGTGCTTAGTTGTAATGCAATTGTTATAAGTTGCACTTGGGATGCTAATTGGAATTTTCAAATCTGCCGTGGTATCGTACTTAAATTGCTTCATGTCCTTACCCTCTGATATATTTTGTTGTTGTATATCAACTTGTTCAGACCTCTCTATCGCAACAAAATTATCTGAATCTTTTCTGTTACCATCATTGAGTTGAATAATGTTTATATCAAAAACTTCCTGGCGTTTTTTATCATCAACTATTGTTGTAGACTCAGCGTGTTGAATATCTAAGACACACTCTTTAATCACAGTTTCATTTTCAGTAAGTTTTATAGTGTTTTTATTAGATTCAAGCGCTAAATGACCCTGAAACTCTTCATGGTCTAACGCACAACTCTTAATTTCCTTTGCATTATTTTGATCTTTACTGTCTTTTACATATGAGCAACTTTCTAAAACATACTCTGTATGAAAATTATCTTTTAATTCAGGTGTTTGGACCTTTTGATAACTAAAATTTTGTTGGTTCTGTTGGCTTCTAAATAATTCAATAGCTTCCTGCTCAATTTTTTTTAGCTCTTGTTGTTCAAGCTGAAGACGTTCTTTTGTTTCCTTACTTAAAAAGTAATTGTCGGCTACATCAGATGGACGTATGCCTACATTTGGATTACAAGCTTCAATTTTTTGAGGAAGCCGAAGAATTAATTCACTTTCACTAGATATATTTGTAGGATCGACTTTAAGATCATCTGCGTTGTGTTCTTGCAGAGTCACTTCGTGGTCAATATATGACTTAATTTCATTGTACCAAGTTAGATGATTTTCTTCGTTATGAGGCTTTATAAAAATATTTATATTTGATATTTCGTCTTCAGTTTTTAATGAGAGATAAATTTGCTTTTCCTCTAATATGCTCTTAATATCGCATAACGGAAGCTTTATAATATTTTGCAAAATGAATATCGATTTTTTTTCTGATATTTTTCGAGCCTTTGTTATTAAAAGTCTTGATTTAAATAAAAAACAATATCGATCATGTGATTTACCATCCTTATCGGTAACTAAGCAAGACTCATGCAACAATAGCCTGCCCAACTTATAAATGTTACCTCTATATCCCTCAATGCTTGAAATCAATATATTATCATATGCTCTACTTGGCACGGTTAGCATAAGTTCTAAAGCTCTTTCTAGGTCCCTAACATTTTCTTTAAAGCATTCAGATAATTTAATTAGGTCCTGTGGATAAAAATTAAAGCCAGTCAGTATATTAAAAGATTATTAGATAAACATATTAAATAATAAATCGTGTTACGAATACACGTGCATGATATAAAATATAATAATTATACTATAAATAAATGTATCCAAACCTTAAACAGGAGTTTGTAGTCGTTGATTCTCTGAAGAGGGAGCTTCAAGTGCTCAGACAGCGATTTATCGTCGCCTAGCTTTGCTGAAAGTTCCTGAAATAATAAAATGAAGTACAGGGTATAACATATAATTAAATAAACAAGTAAGAGTGGTCTAGTTGGCAGTGGCCGACAAGCGGATCCTCGCGTTAAGCCCACATCACAAGCATTCCAGCTCCATTCATTGTTACCATACCGAACTCCACGGTATAAGCTAACTGCATTGAATGTATACATAAAACCGTCAGCTATCAAATTATGCTGATGCCAACCTAATTATTCAAGATATATATAAATACGCATTCAGTCTCATCACTTTGTAATAGAGTTAGCCGGGTACATGTTTCCCCGCATCGAAATAAAAATAATTTTAATTGTACAAAACCAAACATAAGGTTAATACGGTAGGATCATTTCAAGGTCGCAAGATCCAAAGCAAGAAAAACAAGTAAGAGGAACTAGTCGGGAGCTCCCGACAAGGGGATACCCTGAACCCTCTTCTTCCAACATCAAAAAAAATATATACATGTTCAATTTTAGAAGCTAAGTACATGTCAAATTTGGTGTGTCTAGCTCTTATTATTTACCAAAATTGCCCAAATAACAGGAATTGATATCGATTTTTATCGATTGCTTGGAAACGGAGTAAGTTATCGATATCGGAAACGATCTGCGCAGGCATTCGGAGCACCTAATCTAAAACTTCAAGTCTCTAGCTCTTATAGCTCTGAGATCCTTGCGTTCATTCATATGGACGGACGGTCGGACATGGCTAGATCTTCTCGGCTATTGATGCTGATCAAGAATATGTATACTGTATGGGGTCGGAGATGCTTCCTTCTGCCTGTTACATACATTTGCATTTTTCACAAATACAATATACCCTTATACCCATATTCAATGGGTTCAGGGTATAAAAACGAGGTACAATCTAAATACTATAATATCTCAAATATGGACGCTGAAAATGGCAATATAATATACAACGATATTAAAAGATAAAAGAACAAACCTATAAGTACACTAATAATATACAAGGAAAATATGATTTTAATAATGAATTAATGATAAAATTCACAGAGATTTCCAAACAAATTAATGAAGGATAGCAAATTATAAACGAATTTATAAAAAACTACCAAAACGACAATAAAAACTGTTATATTTTTAATCAAAATACCGATATTAAATAAGGAAGATTTTCAGATGAATCACATCATACCCTTACCGATAAATTATACACAATTAAGAATATCACAGAAATATGTTAACAATAGCAAAATACAAACGAAATCATCATGTCATAAGTCGCTTTAATACCCTTGTAGGTACATCCCTTTTGCGGATACGTGAGAATTTTTGAGTTGAGACCTTTCTAATTAATTTTCAACCCACATACAATAAAATCGATTCCAATTGTGGAGAAACAATTTAAAACCACGTACTGTAATGTGAATATCAATGATTATTATTACGACGATGCTACAATCATAAAGGAAGAAAGATAAGCGATAAGTATCCCGCAAATAAAAAAGTTATAATAGACTCAACTGAAAAGGAAATCAATATACATAGGCTCCAACCACTGAATGTTAACCACCAGCAAATACCCAGGCAAATGAAAGTCGCACCTAATAGCGATCTACCAGGGCGAAGGACATACAATGCCGAGCACCATAACTCTTACGACCCCAGCAAAACCTGCCCGCAGTCTCAAGACTCAAGGAACCTATACTACCACATTATGTACTCTATATGAGTACTCTATGAATATACATTCTAAGAGCGTCAGCGCTAGGTAATGGAGTAAGCATATTACTTGGAACCCAGTATTGAGCAAAATTGTAAATAACCATTTTAACCAAATTATTTCAAGGTTCCAAAGGAAAGAAGACTAACCCAACTACAAAACGCTGCTATCCTTAGTAATTGCATTGAAGTTTACTGTCCGATCTCCATGAAATTATCAGACCTAAACTAATGTATGTATATACCGAAGCCCAACGCTATACTTCAAAACATTATTTAAATCTCCGTATAATCTTAGCCTACATCATTCGTTTGATACGTCTCGTGCACTTAAATACAGGCTGAAAACAGGAAGCTGTTGATGAAAAAGAACTTGATTTACAGGTGAAATTTTTCAAAAGTGTTCAGTCAATGAAGTCGTCGGGTATATACATTTGGACGGATGGAGTTTATTATTAGGACTATATACTTTATAAATTCGGAGATTTCTTCATTAGCCTGTTACTGTGGATCCTTATACATGAGCAATATTCCAGCGACATTCGATTAATCTAAATACACATTACTGAAGCACCAACTCTTTTACTATCAATATACGTTCCAATGCAGTATCTACCATATAGTTCAAATTATTTTTATACCCTGAACCCATTAAAAATGGGTATAAGAGTATACTGTAGCCATGTTCGTCTGTCTGTCCGCCCGTCCGTCCGTCCGTATGTATATATAAGATAAGAGCCAGAGACTTGAAATTTTAGATGTAGGTGCTCCTAGTTCCCGCGCAGATCGATTTTATCTCCGATAATCGATAACTTACCCCGTTTCCAAGCAATCGATAAGAATCGATATCCTGTTTTTTGGTCAATTTTGGTAAATAATAAGAGCTAGACTCACCGAACTTGACATATAGCTTCTAAAATAGAATATATATATGCATTTGATATTGGAAGAAGAGGGTTCAGGGTATCCCCTAGTCGGGACTAGAAACTCTTACTTGTTTTAATTGAGTGTGATATAGAGGATCACTGCACCTATGTATATGATCAATTGATCATTTTTATGGAACATCATTTATAATAAGACTATAAAGTAAAAGTAAAGCCTCCCTTGAAGTACACAAAAAGTAACAAGAACCTGTTTCGAGGTTTTTAAAAAAAGGAGAACTTTCTACGTCTTAAACGTTTATCTTTGGATAAAAACAAAAGATGCATGAAGTTTTCTAGGTATACAAAATTAGAATTATCCTCATCATCACAAAAAATTCGCTCTTCGGCGACCTTAACATAAAAAGTCAGTGTACTCTCTGCGGGTCATGACTCAGATTTCTGTGAATCTATCTTACAATTTTCCTGTGATTTCTTTCTATAATGTCATGTGGAGTTAAGTTTATGGTCTGTCTGCTGAATACTGGCAGTAAAAACAGCCTAAGATACAGACCTGCTTCCGTACGCTATCGGAAGACGCGACCTTAGCAGTGCAGGGATAACCCCACTCGGCGGAAAGACTGAGGATCTACTAATTCCGTAATGTTATCTTCTACCTAGCTCAATTTTTACCGGCATGGTTGATGTAAGGCGTATCTGTACAGATTCAATCATGAGGACGACCCCTTCTACGAGCACTGTATCTCTTGAGAATATCGGCGGCGGACCGCACCGACTTGCCTCCCCACAACCTCTCGGCCCGAATAATAGCCACCGAAAATGGATTGACAGCCATTGCTAATATTGCCTTCGCTACTTATAATGCATTCGCTATAAACGGGAGGGAATCCGCCGCGGCTTCGACGACTAAGCTGATATACAGCTGCCCGCCGTTTGTATACCATACGATGCCGTGTCCTATATCCAAAATATCGATATTTACTAAGCAAACGTTAAATACTTGAAAACAACGTTGTAGCATGCAGTATTATACGGTTTGGTTTCCATCCCTATTTTTCCCAACTCTCAGTTTTAAAGCTCTAATGTAATAGCATTAAATAGTAATAGTAATAGTAAGCTGCTGTTGTCTTTGTCCTCCTATCCTCTCTTCTCCTCTCAGCGACGCCATCCTTAGTGAAAAACTTACATATGTGCGACCCTGAACTTTCTTCTGTCAACATAAAAATGCAGCTCACGGTACGAGCCTGTTTGCTTTAGCAGTAATAAAGTAAATTGAAAAAAAAAAATATATTTTCCCAATTTGACTGGAAGCCGTATCCGACTGCAATAATTGCCACCATTTCTACTCGACAGTTATTCCAACAATTAATTTACAATGAAAAAATGTTCAAAATCACATAAGCACATAAACCCAGCACACAATACAATACAATTGCATTAGCAGTGCTTTTAATAGAATTTAAAAATAACTGTGTGTGTGTGTGTGTGTGTGTGTGTGTACATGTTTACAGAAATTTGCTCTAGGGTCCGTAAACAGGTGGTTACATATAACATATATCATAACCACTAGTTTTCTTTAATAAATTGTGTGTGTCTTAACCTATCTTGAAGAAAATCAATTAGGCGACAGCAATAAAATTATGGTCTTAATAAGTGGTTTGTTTCAAATTATTTTTAGATATGGGCGGAGGCGGGGGAAGCTGTGGAGTCGGGAATCTATGGAATCTGCGGTTTTCACCCACGTCTTGATAAGAAACCGTAAGCCGAAAGCATTAATCCATTAACCCGCATTTTGCATTCAAGGTCGGTGGATTTTAGGAAAAAACTTCAGAGAACGTATTCATTTAGTTTAAATGACTTTAAATTAAGTTTCAGATCACTCGGGCAAACCTTGAGACTGCAAACTCTTTGTGCCGTATTTTCCATTAAGATCTTAGCGTGAAATCAGGTCTCATTTGAATTTTCATAACGATCCTTGGCAATGATTTTGGAGCCGATCGGATAGTAGACACACCACAGTTGCGGGTATTCATTTAGTTTTTCTGACGCACATGGAGGAAAGTGTGAAATGAAATTTCTTAAAGATCCTTGCGAAAAAGCTTTCCTTAAAAATGTATTAGAACCCAAAACTTCATCCAGCAAATCTTTGGCCCCCAATTGCTAAAAAGAATGGGAAAATAAGGAAAATTCCAATAAAATGCGAGACTCGCTTGAAATGAATTTAAGCAACGAATAGAATAAAATAAATTATACACCTTGTCATTGTCACACGAGTCCCAATTAGACTACAAACCAATCAATAGACAACTGTTGGGTCAGATTGATAGTAATCTGTATTTGGCAAGCATTTTTGGGGGCAGACGACTAACTTTCATTTTTAATTGGCGACGTACATATCTTATATATGTATATATATATAGGCTCTATCTTTATCACTCAAGCAAAGAGGATAACGTAAGAACAAAAAATGGTAATGATTAAGAGCAACAACACTAACAAGCAATATATATATGAAAGTGTATTTTTTGTTGTTTCTACGTCAGTGTTTCTATATTTAAATTAACTTTTTTATTTTTGTTCATAGCTCATAGCATCTGTGCATCATTATTTTTATAAACCGTATATATGCATATATGTATATGAATATACAACATATAAACAAGCGTGTAGTCAAAATTTATAAAGTTTTTTATGAATATACATACGTATGTATGTATATTATTCATGCAGTTAATAGCTTCGACAGCTCAAATCGACATTATATGTAATATCCGCCCTAATATCCCAAGTGTTCACATGTATATATACCGACATACATGCGTATCTATATAAAGATATGTGTGTACTATATATTCAAAATTATATTAATAAACAGGCTCTAATTGATTTAATTTTAATGTTACATAACTAGACAAAAAAAAATGGTGCAAACATATATTTGATGAAAACTCGAATCTTTATATAAAACTAAATTTTGTATGCATCAACTAAATTTTTGAAAATAAGTTTTTGTTTTAACTCTTCAAATAAGTACCAAAGGAAAGTAATATCCACGTGTACAGAACGCGAAACGACGGCAAACACAACTCGAAAGACACTGAAGATTGCAAAAGCTTTAATATAGAGAAATGTCTGATTTTAAAAATAAACTTATACATTCAACATATACATTCGTATGTATTAGAAATATTCTGAAAAGCATTGAACATGTGTATGTTTGGCGAATAGAAACCAGATAGATATTTATTTACATATTGCAAATAATGCAGCGTTTATAAATGTTAGCAAGTACATTCTATATGGATATATTCATACATACGTTAAGTACATTCATACAATAAAGAATTCAATTACAAATAAAAATATAATTTAATTAGAGCGATGTGCTCCCTTCAATACAACATTAGGAACTACTTAAAGCGAAAGAGTTTAATAAGCATGAAACCTCGGTCTGAGGCCGATGGTGTCTGTTATATGGTATGTTGCAATATGGTATCCGAAGGCTCGCAAAATGTTCTTGTAAAAAAATTGAGTAAATATTTAGATCATCTAGGCAAACTAAACAATGTTCGTCAACAATATCTTTCAATGATTTATTCATAAGTCTTTAGAACGTTAATGTAGTATTTTTATACCAAATAGCAAACGAGTGTATTCTCATCAATATTTGGCATTCGTTATCAGTCTGACACATTGACTATGTTTAAATTGATATACCCGCTAACTATGCGAAATTCTCTTTGTAAAAATAACTTTTTATGGACGCTAGACAGTTGCTGATTGTAGCTGGAAAATTATTTGTTTGTAATTTTGGGGAAGGTAAGTCACGGGATTCTTTAAATGAGCTACTTTATTTTTCAATGCAAGTTGCAAAGCCAAAAAGTCATTTCAGATAGTAGAACATATAAAGCAATATTTTATCAGAACAAGAATTGAATTTAAAAATTGGGGTCTACAAAAGCATATATACAATGAAGTTGTGTCGACTGAAAAGGTACACAAATGACAGCCAGGCAAGGCGACGCAAGTTGCAAGTAAATAGCTTAAGCACATATTTACCTGATTTAATTTACCTGAGAGCCAACCAGCAGTCTTACCTCCACTGGACTTGAGCTTAAAGACATCGCGCATGCAGACGTCGAATTGAAAGCCCTTGTCGATATAGGTGCCGATTAACATATATACACCTAATTCTGTTTTTACACGGTAGATTGTTTCCGGGAAAAACCGAGTAAAACAAGATATCGTTCGATAACTACAAACTACAAATAATAAATAATAATAATAAATAAAGTATGCAAAAATAGGTGATAGGTTCCTTTTATCTAAAATCTATTAAAATTAGTGAAAAACAAGAGTTATTTAAGAACAACTATTTATGTTTATTTTATTAAATCACATATATAATGTGCATTTACACAAGCAAAGTTATTAAAGAAAAAAATTCTGCACTCTAAGCTTGAAAGTAATGTTAATTAAATGTATGACAAGTTTAGGCACTAACAAGTAAGAGGTTCTAGT